CCACCCTGCAGATATTTATAAGCATTTCTAAGGTCCCCTCTCAGCCTGCTCTTCTTCAGGCTGAACAAGCCCAGCTCCCTCAGCCTCTCCTCGCAGGAGAGATGTTCCATCTCCAACTCATACCCAAAGAGGCCCTTTCTCCAGACGGCTCATTTGGTGCCAGACGGGAAGTATCCGCAGTCCACCCCACTCTTCTCAAACACTTCAGTCACGGCAGAAACGCTTCCTGCTACCACTCCGCTCCCGTTACCGCCGAGGGCCTGTTTCAAACCGAACCCTAAACTTTCGATGCAATGTAAGAATTGAAACAAACTTTGTTCTTTGTGCCTAAACCCTATGAACACAGCTGCCAAAAGGAATCATCGCAGCTTTCACCTCTCGTGCCTTCTGCGCTACATCCCAGTATGTTTTGGTACGCAATCCCAGGCCACAGGCTAAAAAATGTGTACACTTCTACAGCTAAACTTGCAAATTTAAGAATAACTGTTCAGAGGGTGAAGGGGATATTTTTTTACAATTCAAAGCAACTTTGGAACATAAAAGCAAAATGCTGCAGAAGAATTAGAAAGAAAATCTTCAAATGACACATACAAATGAGCTAAGATGCCACTTTGAATGGGGACAAATGAGACAAATTTACTTGCATTTTGCCTGAGCAGGCACAAATACACCCTACTGTAGCAGCAGCGTTTGCGAGCTGTAATTAAAAGTCTGAACGACAGAGCTTTTCACGAATATGAACAGATCTACCAGTACAAAGCACACAGGGATGCTGCTCCCAGCTAGTCTCAAAAAAGTATCTGCTTGTCAAAGAGCTACTTCCTGGCCTAGGTACAGAGATACTGCAACTCCAGAACATCAGGCTGCCCACCGAGTCCATCCGTACCCATAACACTGCACCTTTCTGCACTGATCCCACCACTTCTGTCAGCAATTTAAGTACAGCCATCACGTGCTGGTATATACTATACCATTATTTCAATCTGTTCTGACAGCTGCCAGAGCTGTGGCTGCTGTTAATCTGCCTTTCTAAGTGCAGTCAGTGTCAACTGATTTGGGATTGACTGCAAGCTGTGGTACAGGAAGATCATGAGCAATTTATTTTGTTTGGGTTTTTCTACCTGATGAACGTTGCTGTGTAGGGTGAGCTGACACAGCTTAGGTTCCTAAAATTAAGGCAACTGTACCAGTGCTGAAAAACTCCTACAAATACTGCGTATAAGTCACAGGTTTAAAGCCAGAAGGCACCATTAAATGATTTCCTGTTAGTTCACGTCATTCTATTGCGTTAAGTTCTAACGTGTCAAACCCAGTAAGTTATTAAACCAAGCTACCTTCTCCAGAGGTGCAATAATTTTTTAATTTGAAAACAGAGATGGAGTATTTGTTACCCCCCCAAATAGTCTGTTGTAACGAGGGAAAAGTGTAATCTTCCTGCTAAAAATGTGGGGTTTTTTTTAAATTATCTTCAGGTTCAGGCTACTGGTTCTTGCTCAGCGTTTCTCTGCTGGGATAGAGGGGCCTTTGGTAGTTTTTCCATATCATTGTATCTTCAATATACATGTATATTAATCAGTCATCTTAATGTAACACAGTATGAGCTCTTGCACAACTTTCCTCCACTGCTGAATCATCTGTGGTTCTGTGCCTTACCCAGTATTTCAACATCTTCCCTGAAATGTATGCGCTCCTTCCTTACCTAAATAAGGCTACATAACAATAAAGTTTTCCCCTACTGCTCACTTTTCTCCTATTTCCACAAGAAGTGTTTTAGCATCTTGGCTCACAATAAGAACTTTCGTCCAGTTCTAACCTTTAATCCTCTGTAGGATAGTTGCCTTATTCCTAGAATCAGCGATTTTGGAGATCTTTCAAATTCTGTGCTCCTACGTACATAACCTGGCATTTAGTTGTATTGAAATGATACAAGTCACACATTATGAACTTAAATTAGCAAAAAAAAAAATCTAAGCAGTCTTTAAAATAAATGTCATTTTTTGCTTTCTACCCAAAAATTGTGGAAGAAAATTGACTAATAAAGGCCTTAGAACCTTGCCCAGGAAACCTTTTTGGAAATGCCAATGATTCTTTACGGACATCTTGAAGGGTAGTTGTCAGTGGTAGAAAGCATTTGACTTCTTACACCCATTCTTGGCTTGAAGGTCCACATTTGCTTTGGCAACATGAAGCAACATTTCACATGATCACATGATCATTTCACATGATCTCACACAGAAAGAGCATGTCCGATACTTTGCACTTCCCGCCCCTGGACAAATATTCAAGCTTCCAAATAAAATGGATTTGCACATCAGCACTACCACAACTGCCACACCGCACCCCCACCCCACAAACAGGAACAGTTCAGAGCCTAGTGACAAATTAAGAATAAAGCTCAAGCTGCACTTACATTTTGACACATCAGCAGATACATTAAAATGCTGCCATTTTATTCTGTTCAATGTTTCAAGTAATAAGCAATACCAGTAAGGAAGACAGGAAATTAAACATTTACATCCTTCTTCCCCCAACACTTCCTTCCATCCTTCCAATCCTGAATGTCAAAGCCTACAGTCTTTACCCAGACTCGCTTCACAGCTTTCAAATTAGGAAAATGTAGTTTCACAGGCAATTCTTTAGCTTGGAAGAGCTGCAACTAAATAGAAACCCATCTGTTCATATAGGTTCAAGAGACATTTTTGCTAACTTCCAATCAACTGAATTCATTACGTGGCAATTTTCAGAAGCAGCCTTACAGGACCTGTGATAATTTTGGTATCTTATCTTCAAACCAGTAGCATGTTATTTCACATACAAACTCCCTTTAATTATCCAGACTTATCTGAGAAATTACTAGTCAACTAAAAGAGCGAGACTAAATGATAGCATTATTTAATAACCTTCCTCAACTGTCCGCACAGCATTGGCACCCAAGCTGTTCACAAGTCAGTTTCTGAACCAGTTCAGCATTTTCAGCTAAACTAATCAGTGCAACATACTTTAAGACAGCCTCTTGTCAGCTGTAGTAGCAGTAGTTGAGCATCTAGGTACAGACTGGCAGTCACCCAGACAAACGCCCGCGTGATGAATTTGACCTCAAGAACACATACAAAATAAAAGCCACAGTACAGGGCCAGAAGAGACAGAAAGCTTGCTACAAAAAAAAAAGATACATAATCTAATTGGGCCTTGACTTTTAAAGCCAATTTCCCTCTCACATTGTTTCAGCTGGTGCTACAAAAACAATTCTTTCTCATGCTGTCAGGACTCAGGATCTCATGGCCGCTGCCACATCCAACCCAAACTGCCCGCTTTCACACACTAAGGTCTTTTTGGCAGGGAAGGAAGTGCTGGTAGCCTATAGGTGCATACTTTGGGAAGATGTTCTGCTTCTGCCATATTTAACAAGGCAGGAAAGGTACAGCAGGAAACAGAGGCACTGAAATCCCTTTGCCAACACTGATCTGCTCTCAGTCTACAAGGTGGACAAGATTCGCTGGTGCTACAGTAAAAGTCTGAATACTCTGCAATTATAAATTTGGCTGAAGCCACGTTGTAACCTTTTTCATGATTTCATCTGTTTTCTAAAATTGCGATGTCCTGATGTCCAGTATGAAGATAAACATCATACAGCTATAGTCATATTTATCATGTAGCAACTAGGCACCTGCTCTTCCACTCCAATTTCAGTTACAGTTCAGCAGCAAGCACTGCTGTAGCAAAAGTTGACCATGATTTGTCAGCAGATAACCGTGAAACACTGTTGAAAGCTACAAAGGTAGATAATATGGTGGTTAAGGAAGATATGAGATGCCTCTTACTATGGGCTTCCTCTGTGTGTTAACATAAACTGGGAGGAATGAGACAAGAAGATGACACTCGATAGTGCAGTATCTTCCTCCCCCCAGACATTCAAAACAAGGGTAAACGGTGGTGGTTCTTGCAGAAGAGTTCTGTAACAGGTTATCTTTTTCACCATATTTAATCAGTCAGGTTTTTTCCAATTAGGTTAGAACCAACCAAAGGGAAGCGATTTTAAAACAGTTATGTCAAGGGGAGAGTCAGATGTAACACACTGTAGTATATACTTGCTATACAGGGTCTTTTTCAAATAAAATTTCCAGTTACATCCTGAAGTGTCTAAGCACCAAAACAGTAACCATTTAAACCATTTTAAAAGCTGCTTCTCACATAGGAAAAGGTCTGCCCAGCA